AGCTTAGCGGTGATGACGTGAAGTCATGTGACCGTGCTGTAGTTCCTTTATAGCCCAACATTAGCCATCGTTAGCTTAGCGGTGATGACCTGAAGTCATGTGACCCTGCTGTAGTTCCTTTATAGCCCAACATTAGCCATCTTTAGCTTAGCGGTGGTGACGTGAAGTCATGTGACCGTGCTGTAGTTCCTTTATAGCCCAACATTAGCCGTCTTTAGCTTAGCGGTGGTGACGTGAAGTCATGTGACCGTGCTTTAGTTCCTTTATAGCCCAACATTAGCCGCCTTTAGCTTAGCGGTGGTGAGGTGAAGTCATGTGACCGTGCTTTAGTTCCTTTATAGCCCAACATTAGCCGCCTTTAGCTTAGCGGTGGTGACGTGAAGTCATGTGACCGTGCTTTAGTTCCTTTATAGCCCAACATTAGCCGTCTTTAGCTTAGCGGTGGTGACGTGAAGTCATGTGACCGTGCTTTAGTTCCTTTATAGCCCAACATTAGCCGTCTTTAGCTTAGCGGTGGTGACGTGAAGTCATGTGACCGTGCTGTTGTTCCTTTATAGCCCAACATTAGCCTCCTTTAGCTTAGCGGTGGTGACGTGAAGTCATGTGATCGTGCTGTTGTTTGTTTATGTTCCTTACCTTCTGTATTTATACTTCAACTATTATACAAGTGGTCTTGAGACGTGGATATTATCCTGCAGAACAAAACCAAAACAAAAGTACCATAAACAAAGGTCTTATTTCCGGCAATATTCCGAAATCCAATTATAACAAACTTTGTGTGGAAGCAGCCTAAAGTCATCACTGCACCACTCTATCAGAACGTATAGAAAATAGATGTATAGGATTGTGTGCCTGCTGCTGCCAGCATACGGTGTTTACATAAAACAAATCTATTTCTGTTTGTATCTGCAGCAGCTACTCTCTTTCCTCCCTACTGCTGAACTCAATCTCCACACACACACACACACACACACACACACACACACACACACACACACACACACACACACACACACACACACACACACACACACACACACACACACACACACACACACACACACACACACACACACACACACACACACACACACACACACCACACACACACACACACACACACACACACACACACACACACACACACACACACACACACACACACACACACACACACACACACACACACACACACACACACACACACACACACAGTGTGTTGTGTTGCAGTGAAGTGTATTGCTTTCACATTACATGAGTGTGTGTGTAGAGTGTTTTCTGCTGTGGGCTGCAGGTGTGTGTCTGTTCATCATTGTGTGTGTGTGTTAAGTCTTTCCCCACTTGAAAGGGACTTTAACTGGATTCCACTCCAATGACACAACTGTTACTTTTCAGTCTTTTATTTCAGTAGTTTACTTGAAAACAAATGTCCATTTAGTTGCTGAATGGGTCTTTTAGGTGAAAAACCTTGTGTGTGTGTGTGTTGGTGTGTTGCTGGGTTTTTGGGCTGGTTCTTCAATCTGACATAATAATAATAATAACAATATTCATTTTCTTACCTGGTTTTATCTTTTTCGCTGATATTACTTCGGCCTAATGGAAATGTTTTACCTGATGCAAGTAGCTTTAGTTTTTATTCATTTGAAATGTAGGATAAAAAACATGATTTAAAATCAGCGTCTTGCATGCTGCCATTTCAAATAATGGCCTTGCATTGTTCAGTGTCAAAGAACTGTTTAAATATCAGTACCTAAACTCAAATATATAAATAGTAGCATCTATGACAACATATTAAATGATACCGAGCCACACTCAGACACTTTACCTCATGCCCTAATAGTAAAGATCATTAAACCTACCTCTAGAAATAACCTCATGGCAGCAGGGAGCTAAATGTGCTCTCCAGTATTAATCTGTCACATTACAGCCTGCTGACCTGTGCATGGTGTTCTTCTGCACAGAGCAATGCATGCTGGGAAAGACTCTAGGAATAACATGGTGCAGGAAAGAGTCCTAAAACCTAGAAATGAGACAGCATTTTGGCGCTTTGGGTTGACTCGTCTTGAAGTTCTTTTAACATGATTTTATCCTGAAATAAGATCTGTGGTTAACACAAGCTGAAGAGACTTTTGTTTTAAAAGTCAGTAAATACCCTACTGCTGAATTTAAAATCAGCAGTTGCTAACAAGTGACTAAATGACACGTCTAAACGTCATCACGCCCAACATTAGCCTCCTTTAGCTTAGCGATGGTGACGTGAAGTCATGTGACCGTGCTGTTGTTCCTTTATAGCCCAACATTAGCCTCCTTTAGCTTAGCGGTGGTGACGTGAAGTCATGTGACCGTGCTGTAGTTCCTTTATAGCCCAACATTAGCCTCCTTTAGCTTAGCGGTGGTGACGTGAAGTCATGTGACCGTGCTGTAGTTCCTTTATAGCCCAACATTAGCCTCCTTTAGCTTAGCGGTGGTGACGTGAAGTCATGTGACCGTGCTGTAGTTCCTTTATAGCCCAACATTAGCCTCCTTTAGCTTAGCGGTGGTGACGTGAAGTCATGTGACCGTGCTGTAGTTCCTTTATAGCCCAACATTAGCCGCCTTTAGCTTAGCGGTGGTGAAGTCATGTGACCGTGCTGTAGTTCCTTTATAGCCCAACATTAGCCTCCTTTAGCTTAGCGGTGGTGACGTGAAGTCATGTGACCGTGCTGTAGTTCCTTTATAGCCCAACATTAGCCACCTTTAGCTTAGCGGTGGTGACGTGAAGTCATGTGACCGTGCTGTAGTTCCTTTATAGCCCAACATTAGCCTCCTTTAGCTTAGCTGTGGTGACGTGAAGTCATGTGACCACGCTGTAGTTCCTTTATAGCCCAACATTAGCCACCTTTAGCTTAGCGGTGGTGACGTGAAGTCATGTGACCGTTCTGTAGTTCCTTTATAGCCCAACATTAGCCACCTTTAGCTTAGCGGTGGTGAAGTGAAGTCATGTGACCGTGCTGTAGTTCCTTTATAGCCCAACATTAGCCACCTTTAGCTTAGCGGTGGTGACGTGAAGTCATGTGACCGTGCTGTAGTTCCTTTATAGCCCAACATTAGCCACCTTTAGCTTAGCGGTGGTGACGTGAAGTCATGTGACCGTGCTGTAGTTCCTTTATAGCCCAACATTAGCCACCTTTAGCTTAGCGGTGGTGACGTGAAGTCATGTGACCGTGCTGTTGTTTGTTTATGTTCCTTACCTTCTGTATTTATACTTCAACTATTATACAAGTGGTCTTGAGACGTGGATATTATCCTGCAGAACAAAACCAAAACAAAAGTACCATAAACAAAGGTCTTATTTCCGGCAATATTCCGAAATCCAATTATAACAAACTTTGTGTGGAAGCAGCCTAAAGTCATCACTGCACCACTCTATCAGAACGTATAGAAAAGAGATGTATAGGATTGTGTGCCTGCTGCTGCCAGCATACGGTGTTTACATAAAGAAATCTATTTCTGTTTGTATCTGCAGCAGCTACTCTCTTTCTTCCCTACTGCTGAACTCAATCTCCACACACACACACACACACACACACACACACACACACACACACACACACACACACACACACACACACACACACACACACACACACACACACACACACGCACACACACACACACACACACACACACACAGCCAGATGTCTCTGTTTTGTGTTGTTGTGTTTGCTCGATGTTTGGCTGTTTCTGCAAAGTTGTAAACTACTTATTGATCCTAAAAATGTAACAATAACAAATGAACATACAGCTGTCTTTATCAACAACAACAGATTATAGGTCAGTGCACTCTGTATCTGTAGGAGAAATGCTAAATCTGACAATATCTGTCTTTAAAGTCAATGCTAAGGCTGTACAATGAATCAACGTTTTATTGAAATATGGACTAGTGCATTATTCAAAATAGCAGTAAGAGAATCTTTTTTAAAGGATAAATATGTGACAATATTGTGGAGCTGCAGTCCTGAGCTACAACATTAATTAAAAGGGATTTGTACGGTACAGATCCTATTCAAAAAAAATCAAACTATGATGATTTTAATATATATTTTTCAATGGTAATGTTTTAAAATGGATCACTCCCTCCTTGCAAATGATATTGCAATATTAGTCATATACTTTTTTTGTTTCATTTCATGCAGCCCTTTTTGATATAGCAGCATATATTGACTACTTTGATAATCATGTCGTCAAATAGCTTTACAAAGCGACTGGACATGAAGGAAAAAGTGACTAAATTGTTTCTCTTTCTTCCAGCTTTCTCTCAATCCTCTTTGTCTGAGAGCTGTGTTGCTCCATGGGGAAATATGAAAGATAACAACAGCTTGCAAACAATACATTTGTCAATTTCAGAAAACTCAAACAATGTGAACTCCACAGTGTTGTGAGTGCAGGAGCAGCTTTATGTAGGAGTTCCTGCTGTAATGCTCTGACCTGTGAGCTTGTTCATTTTAACCCTCGATTTTTGCAGGGCGCTCAATTTGTGCGCCCTGCAACCCTGGCAATGAGAAGCCAAGTGCATTCTGGTCTTACAATACAATACAGCTTTATTTATGAAGTAATTTAAAACCTCCAGACCGAAGTGCTATACAGTCAAATAAGCAAGAATTTTAAGATAAAGTCAGAATTTTGAGATTTTGAGAAAAAGTCAGAATTTTGAGAAAAAGTCAGACTGTTGCGATTTTCAGAAAAAAGCCAACATTTCGAGAAAAACTCAGTATTTTGTACATGACAGGAGGATGTATGATTACCTAGAAGACCCGGTATTCCTCCATCTTGTGACTGTGTAACTCCCTCTCTTGTATATCAGCATGTGAAGGACACTGTTCAGGAACTAGTTGATGCTCTGTATGTGATGACTACTTCCATTCTGGAGAGGATCACAAATACATGGATCCTGAGATTGAAGCTCAAGCCGGTGACCAGTGATATTTTTCTAACAGTTTTTTCGTCTATGTGTCTTAAAGGGGTCCCTTCAGCGTGGTGCGGAGATGCATCAACAGAGAGACGGGGCAGCAGTTCGCGGTCAAGATCGTGGACGTGGCCCAGTTCACCTCCAGCCCCGGACTCAGCACCGAGGGTAAGAGAGCTGTTATTATTCATAAAGATAACTGAAGATATCATATATATCTTAACCTACAAGTCTCAAGCAAGTCCCAAGTTACTGTGGTGAGAGTCAAGCAAGTCCCAAGTCAAGTCATACGAGATTCTGATGAATAACCCCAGTTTCTGAATTTACATCAGTTAAAAGACAGTGGTTATGAAAAGTTGAGTTTTATTTTCAACATTAACAACAATGTAAAGTCCTTTCGAGTCATCTGTCTCAAGCCTAAGTCAAGTCTCAAGTCATGAATACCAAGTCAAAGTCAAGTCGAGTCTTTTATCAATGTTAGTCAAGCAAGTCTCAAGTCCAAAAAATATGCGACTCGAGTCCCCCACCACCTCTGCTTATTACTCATACAAATAACTAAAGATATCATATACCAACTATGTGCAATATATATATATATATGCCGTAATAACTGTGCAATATATAGCTGGCTGCTATATCTACAGAAATGTTACAGGATGGGTATCTTGTAACTTTGTATGCATGCTTCTCAGTTAACATGAAGCTGATTCTGATCGCTTTTCCCCACTCTGCTTCACACTAAGGGTTAATGCAGGGAGAGGTCAGATGTTTGTCCTCGTTTGTGTTTGTTTGTACACGCTGGACTGCTTGTTATTCTCTCTGTTGTCCACACAAACGCACGCACGCACGCACGCACACACACACTTTGGAGTTTCAGTTCAATGGAAGTCTTCTTCTGTTGTCTTTGGGCTGTGTGCTTTGAAGCAGTTCCTTCTGAAGACTTGCAAAGTTCACCTTCACAGTACTTGTCCAGTATTTCATTTATTCACTGAGTATAGCTTTTATTTATTTAAAGAGGCCCTGTTCTGCTTTTTGGGGTTTTCCCTTTCCTGTAGTGTGTTCTATAGGTTTTTAGTGCATGTAAATGGTCTGCAAAGGCTAACATCCCTGTGTTCAAAGTAGAGACACTACATACTGATATACACCTGAACATCAGCAGGAGAGGACTCTTTAAAGTAGAGACACTACATACTGATATACACCTGAACATCAGCAGGAGAGGACTCTTTAAAGTAGAGACACTACATACTGATATACACCTGAACATCAGCAGGAGAGGACTCTTTAAAGTAGAGACACTACATACTGATATACACCTGCACATCAGCAGGAGAGGACTCTTTAAAGTAGAGACACTACATACTGATATACACCTGAACATCAGCAGGAGAGGACTCTTTAAAGTAGAGACACTACATACTGATATACACCTGAACATCAGCAGGAGAGGACTCTTTAAAGTAGAGACACTACATACTGATATACACCTGAACATCAGCAGGAGAGGACTCTTTAAAGTAGAGACACTACATACTGATATACACCTGAACATCAGCAGGAGAGGACTCTTTAAAATAGAGACACTACATACTGATATACACCTGAACATCAGCAGGAGAGGACTCTTTAATGTAGAAACACTACATGCTGATATACACCTGAACATCAGCAGGAGAGGACTCTTTAAAGTAGAGACACTACATACTGATATACACCTGAACATCAGCAGGAGAGAACTCTTTAAAGTAGAGACACTACATACTGATATACACCTGAACATCAGCAGGAGACGGAGAGTACTCTTTAAAGTAGAGACACTACATACTGATATACACCTGAACATCAGCAGGAGAGTACTCTTTAAAGTAGAGACACTACATACTGATATACACCTGAACATCAGCAGGAGAGTACTCTTTAAAGTAGAGACACTACATACTGATATACACCTGAACATCAGCAGGAGAGGACTCTTTAAAATAGAGACACTACATACTGATATACACCTGAACATCAGCAGGAGAGAACTCTTTAAAGTAGAGACACTACATACTGATATACACCTGAACATCAGCAGGAGAGGACTCTTTAAAGTAGAGACGCTAAATACTGATATGATGAGCAGAATGTGTCCTCTTTAATTCCCAGACATGATAATAGTTCTCATCGTATCCTACAAAGCAAGCTAAATGTTTTACTGCTCCATTAAATGTCAGAGAAAATCCAACACTCGAGGTTAATCACACGTAAAGGCAAAGGGCTGCTCATATAGAGTTATGAACATGTATCTAATTAATATCACGTCTGACATTTGCAAGCTAGGTACCATGCACACATGCTGTGAGTTCAAGATAATTAATGTTTCTTAGAGGAGCTTTACCTGGGACATTACTGCTCTCTAATTCTCTGTGGCTGACGGAGAGTTCATAATCCAGCCTGACAGGAAGTCTCCTCACTTTACTTAAGCTTCCTCCAGGCAGACATAAAGAGCTCAGAGATCCTCCACAACACACACCTCGTAACACACACCTCGTTACACTCATGGTACTGTCGAGAGAGAGTTTAAAAAGTGCCATTTTTACGTGGCTTTATCCAGAGTTGTGACACACCTAAAAACCCCGACAGTGAGAGTGCACACGCCTGCAAACGCATTTGACTTCATTACAGATTTAAAATGTTAGAGCTTAATTTGAAGGGGTAGATACGGAGCTTAATGAGAACAAATGAGAACAACAATGAGAGA